GTATAAATTATTAAGTAAATACAGTATTTTATAATTTTAGATATTTGGTATGTATTATTCGAATTATTGAATTTTTTTACAATGATTAAAAATTTTAAATAAAATTAAATATGAAAAATATTTTTTTATGCCTAAGTTTCGCTTAGGTTCGTAAAGCTTGAAGCTTGGCCTCCACGCTTAACCACGCTTTACGCTTTTTAGAACACTGAGAAAAAAGTATGCTGATGAGATGCCCAATAGTTGTAGCTTTCCAGTGACCAGGAGTTTGTATTAACAAAAGGATATGACACTTTGCAGGAAGTGGTTGACAAATAGGGTGATTAATGGGTGTTGACAAGATGTGATTGAATGAAAAAGTTGTTTGTGTTTGAAATAGTTCAATGATAAAGTGCAACCATTATGTCAAGGTTTATTTTAGTATGATTCTAACAAAAAATTGGGCATGGGTTGGTTTTGATTTTGGAGTAGTAATTAATCATGTTTGGGCAAACAATTAAACTTGCGTTTTTTGGGTTAAGCATTTTATACGATTTGGGATAATTTAATTTAATATCATTTCTATCAACAAAGATTTTTGTATCTTTTCCATCAAGAGTCGGAAACGACTTTCTTAACGAGTGGTAAACAAACATATGTAGAAAGATGAGTAAATATTGAGAAACCTTTTAAAATTTGATCAATAAATAATAACTCAGTTAAAGTTCAGTGAGCATCTATCGGTTTTACCCGTTGGTATTTCATAGATAACTACTTTAATGAACATTTCCTATATGTTTTTTTAAAATTAACCTGTTAAAAGAAGAGGATCGACTGTCAAAATGTCAAATTAGCGGTAAAAGATAATGAATTAAATAAAATAATTTGATAAATAATTTTACAATTTTTAGTACAAGTGTCCTTCCCATTCAGATCCGGCTCTTCTTCACGAACAAATTCCTTCTTATTTTTTGGACCGCCCTACTTGAACAACCCCCTGGACGTTCTCTGGGGGTTGTTCAAGTGGATTTACCCTTATTTTTTTTTTTCGAAATACAAATAACTAAACCTAGAAAAAATTGGCACTAAAGTCAAACGAGTTGTGTATAATTCTAGGGTTGGACAAAACTCTTGAACCGAACCGGACCCGACCCAAACCGAAATTAACCGAATTGAGCGGTTCTTTTTAAATTAAATACCGAACGGTTATCTGAACCGAGAACTGACGGGTACGGTTCAGTTCTCAATTTTAGACTGAGAATTGAAGAACCGAATATCCCTAATTTTTTATTTTAAATGAGCTAAATTATTTTTTTCTAAATAAATTTGCTAACTAATTAATTTAACTCAAACTTAAAATATATTTTTCCTATTTCTGATTTCCAGCCCAAGTTCAATTAATCAAATCGATCTAAATTTTACCAAAATCTCTTATTATAGCCATTTCCGTATGGAGAAATCGAATTTGAAGACTCTTTATTATTGTGAGCTAACTGTAGCACATATCTTTGTCTCTCCATATATATATATATATAATATGCCTTTGTTGACTTACCTTTTGAATTGTTGGGACTTATGTGGAAAGTGGTCCCACTCCACAATTAAAAAGAGTTTCCCTCACGTGGAGGGAACCTCCCCAACAATTTCTTGGTATGAAAAGTTCAAGTGTGAACATTGGACTTTGAACGAAAATTACTGCTAAACTTAATTTTAGCTTTAAAAGTTATTGAACTTCAATTTTAAATTTAAATTTCATTAGTTTGTTGATTAATTGACGATCAAACTACAATATATCTTCTAAATAATCATGATATGAAACGTTATAAAATATTAATACTTCAAAGATATTTTAATTTTATCCAAGAAGTCAATCCACCGCATTAGTATTTAATGATGGGAAATTGATTTGATAATTATGTACTTTATCTGAAAGTACACGAAATTTTGGAGAATCTTTCCTAGAAATAACAACCAATTGGCACCATAGGCTGGGGTTCAAGTCAAGTCTTCCCTTTTCATATGTTTAATCAAGAAGTCATTATTTATAGTCTTGTTTGGTTTACATCATCTTTTACACTTTGCCAAGTGTCATTGCACCATTGAACGGCTTAAAAATAAAACAGTTTTTTTATCCAATCCATTCTTGACAACATGGATGATGTCGGCCATTATGTAAAGAAAGTGTTGCACAAATGACTTTATTCTTCTACGTGAATTCGTTCTTACAGCTGATGCTATAAGTAGTCCGCTTAAATGGTGAACAATCACAAAAGAATATTAGAAAATTCTTAGTTACAATTGTTCACAAAATGATAGTTGATCAAAAGTTCTTTCAACATCTCCAATTGTTGGTCATTGTGATACTACTGAGCTGGATAGCCACTTTTCAGCACTCTACAGGAATGAAAGATAGTATTAGGTGCATAGAAAAGGAGAGAGAAGCTCTTCTCAAGTTCAAAGATGAGCTTATTGATGAACATGGCCGACTCTCTTCTTGGGGAAATGAAAAATATAAAAAGGATTGTTGCAAATGGAGTGGTGTCTTTTGTGATAACCAAACTAATCATATTGTTGGGTTGGATATTGGAAATCCATATGAAACTACGCCTCTAAGAGGTAAAATCAGCATCTGGTTGCTTGAAATCCATCATTTGAAAAGGTTAGATCTCAGTTACAATGATTTCAGTTATAGCAGAATCCCACAATTCATTG